GGGCAACAGTAAAACATGATGCTCAGCCCAAAAATTTCGTTTAAAATATCAAAAAAGAGTAAAGATGGCTGAGTTGTGAAAACAGTAGAATATAGCATGACTGAATACAAATACTGAGTCAAAACAGTGAGGAATAGTAGTAAAAATCCTGGCACGAGGCCCAAATATGGCATTCAGCCCAAAACATGATGATAGCAAACAATTTTCAATCAAATACGCGGCAAAACAGTCATACAGGACGGACTAAGTCATAATCCCCAATGGTGCACGACCCCACGCTCGTTATCTAGCGTGTACGTCACCTCAAAATAGCACAACGATGCGAAATCCGGGATTTCATGCCCTCAGGACAACATTTACAATCATTACTTACCTCTAACCGGTCCAAACTCTAGCCCGCGATGCCTTTGCCTCTCGTCTCGGCTTCAACTCGCGTGAATCTAACCAAAATCAAAATCATGACATCAAAATATGCTAAGGGAACGAAGCCCATGCAAAAATAATCAAATTACGACACAAATCCTGAAATTAACCAAACCCGAACCCCGGGCCCACATCTCGAAATTTGACAAAATTAATATCAATGGAATCCTTATCTTCCCACGAGTTCATGCATATCAAATACTTCAAAATCCGACCACAAATGACCCCTCAAATCCCTAGATTGAGGTCTCCAATTCCCAAGCCCTAACTTCAAATTTTCAGGCTTATTTTTCACAACTTCCATGATTAATTAGGTAGAAATCACATTAGGATTGAGTGTTAAACCCATAAATCTTACCTCTAAGTGTTCCTCCTTGATTCCCTCTTTAACTCTCTTCAAAAAGCTCTAAAATCGCACAAAAATGGTGAAGAAAAGGCTGAAAGTCACGAAGTCCATAATTTATATGTTCTACCTCAGCGAAACCGCTTCTGTGGTACAAATCACGCACCTGTGGTCCCAGGTGCGCTTCTGCGCAAATCACTTAAACGCTCAAAGGCCGCACCTGCGGTCAAAATCCCACACCTGCGCTATCGCAGGTGCGCTCGAGCAGCCGCATCTGCGGTTCCAGCTCCCCATGGCCATTTCCGCATCTGCGACCCACTGGGCGCTTCTGCGAGCCCGCACCTGCAGTCCCCAAGCCGCAGGTGCGGTTATGACAGGAACTTAGCACCTCAGTTGCATATTCCAACTCAAAATCTTCCGTAACCATCCGAAATCACACCGAGGCCCCCGGGACCTCAACCAAAATCACAAACAGGTCATATACCACTATCCACACTTATACCAATCTTCAAAACACCACAAACAACATCGAATCAACCAAATCACATCAGATTCAAGCCTAAGGTTCCAAAACTTCTGAATTCCGCTTTTGATCAAAAAGTCTATCAAACCACGTCGGAATGACCTGAAATTTTGCACACACATCCCAAATGACACAACGGACCTACTGCAACTCTCGGAACTCCATTCCGACCCCTATGTCAAAATCTCACCCATCAACCGGAAAACGCCAAAAATTCATCTTCGCCAATTCAAGCCTAAAACTACTCCGAACCTCCAAAACACGTTTCAATCACGCTCCTAAGTCCCAAATCATCTCCCGAAGCTATCCGAACCATCGGACAAACGAGCCCTTTTTCACATAAGTCAACATCCGATTAACTTTTCCAACTTAAGCTTATTCAAAAGAGACTAGGTGTCTCAAACATTACCAAAACCATTCCGGATTCGAACCGACTAACCCGATATCAAATAATACTGATAAACAAAGCATAATAAAGCAGAAATGGTAAAAACGGAGCGGTAACTCATGAAACGACCGGCCGAGTCGTTACATCATGACGTGCATGGAGAGACTCTCTAGACTTATTGATAGGGCTGTGTATGACAAGCAATGGCTTTTCATCAGTATTAGTAGATCTGGACATAAGATATCCCATCTCTTCTTTGCTGATTACCTTACTCTGTTTGCAAAGGCAAACATCAGAAACTACCATACAATCTCCAGAATACTGCAGTCATTCAATGAAGCATCTGTGCAGAAAATCAATCTCACAAATAGCCTATTTGGCCAAGCTTCTCCAAATTCAAAAGCACTTTATTCCCAAAGTTCAGAAAAAAGTGTTTTATTCAGAATTTAAAGTGTTTGGCCAAGCTTTTAGAAGGGAAAAAATGCTTTTGAGGAGAAGCAGAAGTAATTTTGAAAAAGCAGAAAAAAATAGCTTATTTTCAGAAGCACTTTTTTTATAAGCACTTTTGAGAAAAATACACATAGAAGCACTTTTTAAAAGCTTGGCCAAACTAATTGCTGCTTAGAAATACTTTTTAAATTAATTAGGCAAATACAAACTGCTCCTCACCAAAAGTAAACTTTTGGAAAAAAATACTTTTGAAAAGAAGCACTTCTCAAAATAAGCTGATTTTTCCATCTTGGCAAAACGGGCTATAAGTCTAGGGTGCTTTTCTCTTCTAACTACAAGCCTGACACCATGGAGAACCTTACAAGTGCTCTTTCCATTCAAGCTACAACCTCCTTTGGTAAATACTTGGGCTTTCCAATGTTCCACAAGAGACACTCTAATAGTGACTTCCAGTTCACAATAGATAATATGCAATCCAAGTTGTCTGGCTAGAAAACAAATTGTCTAAATATGACTGGAAGAATTATTCTTGCCAAAGCCTCCCTTAGCAGTATACCCAGCCATGTCATGCGATACATCAAACTGCCTACCAAAACTACCAAGCAAATAGATAGAATCCAAAAAGGAATTTTATCTAGGGTACTACTCCAAATAAAAAGAAAATGCATCTGGTCAATTGGGGCAAAATCACTAATCAAAAAGCCCATGGAGGTCTGGGCTTACAGAAAGCTGAATGCAAGAATAGAGCCTCCCATGCAGGCCTTGCTTGGAGGATTTTCCATAACACTTCTAGCATGTGGGCAAGAGTCCTAATCTCCAAATATAATAACTGGATTCATCCTCCAAGAAAGCATAAATCCCCAATCTGGCAATTCCTCAAAGGTTGGAATTCATGTAATAGGGCCAGTAGATGGGTGGTTCACAAAGGTAACAGGGTGAGCTCCCTTAATGATGTTTGGATTCCCAACTATTCAGCCATAAGAGACATGATTGTGGGTCCCCTCACCAAAATGACATTATTACCAAAGCGGAAACTACCAACAATCTAGGAAATTGGAATTCTTCATCCATCTCTATGAATCTCCCTGAAGATATCACTAATCTAATCAAATCTACCTTTATCCTTGCAAACTCTTGCAAGGAAGATAATCTAATCTAGGAACTAACACAGAATAGTTCCTTTACCACCAAATCAACCTACTCTTTCCTTCGCAACAACAGTAAGCCCCTGATAAATGGGTAAGGAGGTAACTTCAGTTGGATATGGAGGCTAAAGGTTCCTAACAAAATTAAAACATTCATCTGTCTACTTGCTCAGGATAGGCTCCAAACATGAGCCTTCCTGCACAAAATTGGTATTAATTGCAATCCTGCCTGCTGCTTCTGCTCCAAAATACCAGAGAGTAGTGACCACATCTTCTTTGAATGCCCAAATACCATTCAATTCTAGCATGACCTAATCTCAAAAAGTTCTATTGGAAGCCAACAAATGAATTCAATATTCACAACCAAGCTCTGGCCAACCACATGGAACAAATTAAGAAAGTTCCCTTTTTAATACTATCTCATGGGAAGTCATACTCCCATTCTGTTTATGGCACATTTGGTTAACTAGGAATTATATAATAGGAAAGATGCAATTTCAAATGTGAACACCATCGCCAATCAACTGAGTATCACACAAAAGCAGACAAAGGAACTATTACGAAGACTTCTCATATTAAGTGGGAGCCTCCCATAAGACGGCATTACAAACTTAATATTGATGGTGCTGTTAAGGGTAACCCAGGCGCAGGGAGAATTGGGAGGGTATTTAGGACACACAGTGATGATTGAGTTCTTGGGTATCTGGAAAATATACTATACACCACCAACACCCTTGTAGAACTAATTATCTTGCTTAAGGGACTCCAAATTGCAGAACAAAATGGCTTGATACCACTGGAAGTAGCCGCAAATTCATCAGAGGTATTAAGAATGCTAATTACAGGGAATATAACTTATGATCAGAGTAGTAGTAAGATACAGCTATAGAAAGCAGATTAAGATAGTTGATTCATTGACAAAGGAAGGAGCAAAAATAATTTTTTGGGAAGAACTACCATGCTATCCGTTCTTCCGGTGTTCTCAAATAAATTATTTTGGACAAACATCCTAGGAACTGAAGTAACTAGACATATTTTGACTTGTAAAATTGATATCTTGGAAAAAAACATGTCTACCTTAGGGGGATTGCAGTATCTCCTAAGTAACCAGTATTTTGTGGTTACTTGGGGGATATTGCAATCCCCTTAAGGTAGACATATATATATATATATATATATATATATATATATATATATATATATATATATATATATATATATATATATAT